TGTTAGTGTTTTAATTATTTAAGTGGCATTAATGGTTTAAGTGTAATTGGTTTAGTTATTTGATTGGAATTACTTGTTAGTGTTTTAATTATTTAATTGACATTAATGGTTTAAGTGTAATTGGTTTAATTATTCTATGTGTGTCTTATTTGGTTTAATTGGGTTTACTAATTATTATTTTATTCAATTAGATTATTTGTTAAGTATTTAATGGTGAATAGGGTAATTAGGTAAATACATCTAACTAGGGTTTTAATTACAGTATAAATTAGGGTTTTATATTATAGCCGTCGTAGGTTTCTACGTTAATTGGATGGGCCGGTTAGGATTGTGAGTTGGACTTAAATGAACCTAGGGTTTAGGAAAACTCTATAAGTATAAGGTAGACGTCTGTGTAGGGTTTTTTTAAACAAAGCACACGTTTTGTGGAAATGGAGAAGGAAAAACGCAGTTTTTCACATTCTGCCAAGGTTTGATCAAAGCCCCGATTCCGCTTCGTCCGTGGTCCGATCGAGCTGAATTTTGGAGGAGAGGTTCACGACTCAGTGACGCACAATCTGAACGGTGGAGATCAAATTTTAACCTCGGGAACAGTGATTCGTACTCGTGAACAGTAACTGGGTCGCATAGGTTTTTTCCATTCTGCCCAGATTTCATCAAACATCCGATCCGACTTCGTCCGTGGTCCGATCGAGCTGAATTTTGGAGGATAGGTTCATGACTCAGTGACGCACAATTTGAACGGTGGAGATTAGAGTTTGACCTCGAGAATAGTGTTTCGTACTTGTGAACAGTAACCAGGTTTTGGAACTCGCCGGGATTTTTTAAGAAGACGACGTTGAAACTTTGAACAAAAGTTTCTGAGACAAGATTCTATCCTTAATCTTTCCCTTAGGCTTCATACTCTTTGCACTCTTAAATGATTTCAGGATTAATGAAGATTAAACCAAACTAAAATGATATCTGTTTTGTTATATAACTGGTAGTTACAGTAGTGTTGTATGCTTGTTCAACCTAGACTAAGCATGTTTGTGGATGCGTTGTGGTTCTGTGGTTCACGTTTTTCCTTACCACTGCTGGTATAAATTATTGGAAGGATAGGTCTAGATGATAGCTATCTTAACCTCTGTAATAGCAACTGTTGGAACTTAAATACTAGGAGGATTTGAGTTTAACACTAGATCGGTTTTGTGGAACACTATAATTTGAGCATGTCTACATACATACTGTGAATATTGTTTTGATGCTTACATTATCACAGTTAGTATCAACTGTGGAGGTTAGGATTCTGTGATACATACCCTACATATCTGTATGTCATTTGTAAGGTGTTAAGTGGAAGTTTTAATTAATTCTGTCTTTATATCAGACTAAAAGGAACAACTTAAATTGGGCATGTATATGTTGTTGTTGTGACCCTGTTTATCAATGCTTATTTTATCACTGCTAACATTGAATGTTGGATGTTGGAATTTAGTTAATATATACTTGATTTATTGGTATTATTAACTACTGGAGGATTGGAAAGTAGGCACCGGTATGGGACGGTGGCATACTAAGGGTGGGTTTGGTTTTTAAAACAATACCATTACCCACCTACTTGGAATAAGGATGGGATTAACTAAAAGTTAAGTCCCGTGGATTTGTATTGTCATGGCAACTAATTGTTGAGCGGCAATACCAGGGATTTTGGATGGATTTTATATATGTATTGTTATGGTGCCTCGGTATGAGCTTGAGCCTCAGGACCGATGGCTAGGGAGCGTATATGCATCGGGATGTGTAGCTGGCTACGATGGTTAGAGGTGTACTCTGTTTAGGTATAGGTACATATGCCCACTTCGTGTGCGTTTTAGCATGTTACCTCTATTCAGGTTGAGACCGGCCTGTAGTCCAGTGAGAGTCCTTTAGTGTGACTATATATATATATATTTACAGACTATTAGCTATTGTTGAATTGTTTAGGATGTACATGCGTATCGGGCCTCTGTTTGGATTGTAGTAGTATAGAACTTGCGCGTGGGCCTGACTCATTTCTATTTTTCAGGTACACGACAGTTCCAGGCTTAGACGTGTTCATGCTGAGCAGAGGTCTCTATTCACTCTTCCGACGATGTTGGGCTCTCTCTATTATTTCTGGACGTTTATTACAGTTGTTCTATCTTCCGTTTGGATGTTTAATAGGGGTCCACTAGAGATGGATTCCCAAGTTGTAAACTGATGGAGTTTTGGAGTTTGGGTTTGATGGATTTTAATAATTATAATATTTTGCGGATTCTATTTTTAGTTCCTTCGAGTTTTAATTTCATTTCTTAATTTATGTTGTATTCCGTGTACATTATAAAATATTAATTGTTTGATATTCCCTCGGGTTTGGGCCTGGGCCTGATCAACCCGTGTCTCGGATCCGAGGGGTATCTCATTACGTGCAGGTCTTCAGGTGGTTGATGTATCAATGACCTGAACCTCTGGCATTTATCGCATCTTCTAGAGAATTCTTTTGCATCTCGTGCCATGTTTGGCCAGAAGTACCCCTGTGTCATTGCTTTGTGTGCTAAAGATCTTCCTCCGGAGTGATTTCCACATACTCCCTCATGAATGGTTCGCATAATCTGTCTAGCTTCTGTAGGGGTAGCACACTTCAAATATGGACCCGAGAAGGAGCGTCTATATAACTGATCGTGCACAATGGCATACTTTGCTGCGCTGGACCTAATTCTTCTTGCCTCATCCTTATGCTCGGGGAGTGTACCATTACGTATGTAAGCCATGATTGGATTAATCCAACTCGGCTCATATGGTATAACGTTAACATATTGAGTGCTCGAATTAGGCAGTTCTTCAAAAATAGAAGGTTGGATTAGTATGTCGACCGGGATGACCCTAGCTAAAGTATCTCCAGAACTGGATGCACTACAAGCCAAGCGGTCGGCATCTTCGTTACACTTTCTCGGCAATTGGATAAACCTGATCTGATCAAAGGCTTTCGCCTCACGCAGAACCACAGTTCGGTATGCTTCCATGGTCTCATCCTTGGCCCCATAGTCCCCATTGAATTATCGAATGACTAGTTGTGAATCACTACAAGCCATAAGACTCTTGATCTTCAGTTCTTTAGCCAACTTCAGCCCAGCTATCAACGCCTCGTATTCTGCCTCATTGTTGGTCGCGTTAAACTCTAGTCTTATCGTTTGGCTCAGCGTAGTTCCTTCTGGTGTTTGCAATTGAATTCCAATCCCGGCCCCCATTTGATTCGAGGAGCCGTCCACGAAAAGCTTCCACCAGGAACAATTAAAATCCTCCACCGTATCTTCATCATCACAGTCAAGTAGGAAATCCGCCACCGCTTGACCTTTGATTGCCGTCTTGGTCTCGTACGCGATATCAAATGAACTCAATTCAATGGCCCACTTGGTCATTCTCCCCGACAGGTCCGGTTTGTGCAGGATCATTCTCAGAGGGAAAGTTGTTAAAACGACGATTGGATGAGATTCAAAATAATATCTAAGCTTCCTTTTTGCGTTGACCAGCGACAAGATCATTCGTTCGGCCCTAGAGTACCTTCTCTCTGGTTCAGACATTGTCTTGCTAACATAAAACACCGGGAACTGCTTGCCCTCTTTGTAACGGATCAGAACGGCATTGTTTGCTATACTGGACACCCCGAGATATAGAAAGAGTTTCTCATTCGGTTTTGGAGCAGACAGAACCGGAGGATTACGCATGTACTCCTTCAGGCTGGTTAGCGCCTGCCGTTGCTCATCCCCCCAGGTTTGTCTTCCGTGCCCTCAAATTGTATCAAAGAAAGGTTTACAGCGGTCTGAAAGCTTGGAAATAAATTGGCTTAGTGCTGTTATCCGGCCTGTGAGTGCCTGCACCTCTTTAATTGTCCTTGGCTCTGTATTCCTGATCAAGGTTTCTGCCTGTGCCGGGCTGACCTCAATTCCTCTATGATTGACCACATGTCCCAGGAATTGACCGGAGCTTACACCGAACGAGCATTTGGCTGGATTAAGCTTCATCCCATACTGGCGCAACACATCGAACACATCTTGCAGGTGCGCTAAATGATCGCTCTTCTTCTTACTCTTGACCACCATATCATCAATATAAGCCTCAACAGTGCTACCCATTTGGCCCTTAAAAATCTTGCTGATCAGCCTCTGATAAGTAGCTCCAGCGTTTTTTAATCCGAATGGCATGACTTTATAGCAATAAGTCCCTCGTTCAGTAACAAATGAAGTTTTCTCTTCATGAACCGGGTCCATAGGAATTTGGTTATAACCGGAATAAGCATCCAGGAAAGTTAACCGCTCATATCCTGTGGTGGCATCTACCATTTGATCAATCCTGGGCAATGGGAAACTATCCTTTGGGCAGGCTTTATTTAGGTTAGTGAAGTCGATGCACACTCTCCATTTTCCATTCTTCTTCTGCACTACTACAACGTTAGAGAGCCAGGCCGGGTACTGAACTTCTCTGATGAATCCGGCTTTAAGCAGCCGATCAACCTCCTCAGCTATAATCAGATTTCGTTCTGGAGCAAATCTTCTCTGCTTCTGCTTCACTGGCTTTGTATTCGGATCCACATTGAAGGAATGGCAGGATACAGCAGGATTTATCCCTGGCATATCTGAATGGCTCCATGCGAATACATCCGCATTCCGAATCAGGAAATTAGTCAACTCTAGTCTTTCTTCTTCAGTGAGTCTGGTTCCCACCCTTGTTGTTCGGTCTAGTTACTCATGATCAATCTTTACTTCATGAAGGGGTTCTGTGGTCAGAACTGGTGACTCCTCCCCCCCATCCTTGCTGGGAGGAGGGTTCTGTAATTGCTATTTCGGAATGGCTGGACGGATGGGATTTTTTCCTTTTCCAGCAAATTTCAAAGTTACTGAATAACATTCTTTAGCCGCAACCTGATCCCCGTGTATATCTATCACCTTGGTCCCATCCGGACCCAAACATCGCATCACTTGATGTAAGGTTGACGGAACGCCCTAAATTCTATGAATCCATCCTCTGCCCATCAAGAGGTTGTATGATGGATGAATTTCCACTACCACAAAACTTTCGGTCAAAACCCGCTCAGCGGCTTGTATTGTCAATTCCACTATTCCAATGGGTTCCACTCGCTTCCCATCAAATCCGAGCAACGGATTTCCTGCGGGTTTGAGTTTCTCGGGTTCGATCTCCAGTCGGTCGAACGTCACTCTGGGCATGACATTCGCATTACTTCCTGGATCAATTAGGACTCTCCGAACCAGGCATTCTGCAATCGTCAGACTGACGACTAGTGGATCTTCATGAGGAATCTGAACGCGCAGCAGGTCCATTTTATCAAACTTAATCGACGTGGATGTGTTCTGCTGGTGCAAAACACGCACACTACCAATTCTTCTTTTCAGCTGGGCCTGGCGTAACCTCGTTTTGAGCAACTCCTTTGACTCCGTCGTTTGTTCAGGCCGGCCATGAATTGCGTTTATAATCCGGACGGGCTGAGAGTTGTGTTGGTTCGGCCTCTGGTTCCGCTTGAGTTGTTCAGTTGGGCGGTTATGCTCTTGCGCCGGACCCTGAACATAGCTTGCAAACTCCCCCTTTGCGATCAGCATCTCTACCTGCCTCTTTAGGTTCCTGCATTCGTTAGTCTGATGCCCAAAATCACTATGGAAAGCACAATGTTTAGTCTGATCCCTCTGTTCAAGAGGTTGCCTGATTGGCAGAGGAGGACGAAACTTATCTTTGTTCTCCTGGTATAGCCTTGCTAAGGTGACTCTGAGTGGAGTGACTGATTCCTCCTCCCTGGGCCTCTTCTCTACCTTCCATGAGGGGTGACGTTGCGGTTGAGCTTGTTTTTGCCGGATCTTGGCTTTGGACTTCTCCTCCGTCGAAATAATTGACGTCTTCCTTGAATTAGCTGCTTCTTCCTCCTCAAGGCGAACAAAACCGTCAGCTCTCTCGTTCAGCTCGTCCATTGTCTTTGGTGTATTAACCACCAAGTTGGTGTGGAACGGCGTCCCCCGATTCATTGCAAGTTTAAATGCTTGGACCGCTGTTGATGGGTGACACTCTATTACCATGCTTTTAACGAGGTTGAACTGGGTGAGAAAAGCTTGGAGCCGCTCATCCTCATGCTGTTTCATTGTAAAAAGGCTCGATACATCCTTAGCCGGATGCTTATTCCCGTAATACTGGCTTATGAACTTATCGCATAAGTCCTGGAAACTGGCGATTGAGCCTTGAGCCAGATTCTTGAACCAATTGAGAGCTGGTCCTGCCAAGCTCGTAGGGAAACACTTGCACATCAAATGATCATTATTAGTATTCAAAGCCATTTTCAACTGAATATGGTATATGTGATCGATCAGATCGGTTGTTCCGTCAAACAGAATGAAGACCGGCATGGAAAACTTCTTCGGATTCGGCGCGTTCAGAATTTCATCAGTGAACGGCGATGCGACTGTCCTTGCTGAGGAGCACAATGCTTCGTTTTCTCTTGAAAACCGTGATGCAAACCCTCGATCGGCAGATCTCCTTTCTGAGCTATGGTAATCAACTGTCGCTAATGAAGGTCGGTATGGCGGATCGAACGACCTATGCTCCGCAAATTCACTCCGCCATGGTGACGCAATCCTATGCTCATATTCCGGCACTTCCTCCCTCATAATCCGTTTGTGATGCGGTTCTAGACGAACAGATCCTTCTCGGTCCTATACTCGGCCGACATTCGGAGGCAGATTACCGATTATACCTTCATCACAACGTGGACCACCACGATTGACATCTTCTAGATCACCTTGACGATCAGCTTCGAACGGTAAAGCTCCCTCTCCTTCAGGAGGCGGCCTCAAAATTGCAGGAGCCTCGCGATGCTCCATTCCAGCTCGTAGCTCTGCATTTTCTTTCCTCAAAGCATCAATCATGTTCATTAGCTCATTGAGCTTCGTCTGCTGGCCGTTCTCCAAAGAATTCGAGTTCGCCTCTCCGATCATCATTCCAGATCGGAGCAAAGTCATCAACTGCAGGCTTCTTGATCAAATCGGAGTTCCGCTAATGCGCGCACACCAGATCTGAACTTACACTTGCCGAATTCGGTCCACTACTGGCCGGATTCAGTAATCATAACGGATCACAACCGCGTAGTCCGTCGGATCAAGCACGGATCTGATCTGCTTGAATCGGACGCCAATTTTCTGAAATCAACCGAAACCTGGACTCGTCAAGACAGATCGTATTATTACCAATGTTGATTCAGCTTTCACTTCCCACAGACGGCGCCAATTGAAAGTACAAAGAATTTTTCCCTAATTGTAGAGAGAGAAACTTTACACTCCCAATGATTTTTTCAACCCCTTTTCCTTCTCAATCCCTTCTATTTATAGACGGTTATAACCTCCACTGAGCTTGTCCTATCTTTTTCTCCTTTGGCTGGACTCGATTTCTCTCATATTATCATGGGCTTCTGAAATGGCTTTATGGACCTGGGCCCATACGGTGCGAACTGGCTTCATCCTGTTCGTCCACACCCGACCCATCCTATGCAATGTGGATCAATCCAAACCCGGGTCGTTTTGGTATCCTCAAATGTATTGATATATTTTGAGACTTTGAGTTGCTGCAACAGGTTTTAAAAATGGATTATAGACATAGCACATATTTTGGCTTATCAATTGCTGTAACAGGTTTTAAAAATTTGCAATCCTCTAATAGGTTTTAAAAATTAGACTGTAATAGGTATGATTTTAGAGGTTTAAAAAAAAAATTACAATTGTTTTACAGGTTTTCAATTTAAATTAAAATTTGTTAGCCAATTGTATTACAGGATTGTAACCAGTTTTTTTTTTCAAAAAAAAAAAAAAAAAACGGATTGTGTAAGATACAAGAATGCTAATATTATAACAGCTGTTTTACATTCTAATATGCAACCAATGAAGAAAGAAATAAGATATGCAAGCAATTAAGAAAGAAATAAGACTCTTTCTTAATTAAGCAATTAAGCAATTATAGTAGCTAACGTCATTGTCAGGGGAAAAAAAAAAAGGCAACAGTTATATGTTGAATGCAAATAGTTGCCGCTTGTAAGGTCATTGGGGTATTTTTGTCATGAAAAAATTGAGGGGTATTTTTGTCATGAAAAAATGGGTTAAGTGCAAAAAACCCCCCTAAAATATTGCCCTTTTGCAGATAACCCCCTTGAACTTAAAATTGCCCCCTTGAACTATTAATTTATTGCAATTAAGGACAAATCAATCACAAAAGATTATTTTACCCTTTCTCATTAAAATTTTCATTTCCTAGTAAATTATTTTTATTATCTTTTCTCTTATGTAAATATTAATGATACTATATACCTTAATTTTATTTTTAGTATCAATTTATCATAAAAATGAAAAAAAAAGATAAATAGATTTGTAACAACCATTTTCTAAATTGATTAACTTATTATTAAAACTTTATTATTTTATAATAAAACGTATTATAACCAATTTAAACATTTTTTTTCGTAAAATAATATCATTTTTTTCATACAATATATTGATGAAAAATTAATAAAATACTTTTGAAAAAAATACATTCTTTTCATATAATATATTCATTAAAAATTAAAAAATTTATTAATTAATTTTTTTTTAAAAAATTCAACTAAAAATTTTTATTTAATAAAATAATTAAAAAAATTAAAGGTAAATTTATTCAAATTTAATGGAATATATCTCATCAAATTAGTATGAATTTTTCATAATTTATTTAGATAAGAAAAATATATTAAATGTAATTCAATAAGAAGGGGCATTATGGTTATTTAATGAAATATAGTACAATCCTTGGGGTATGTTGCAACAAAATGAGATAGTTTAGGGGATTTTATTCACAAAATATAGTTCAAGGGGGTTATTTGCAAATTCAAATATAGTTCAAGGGGTTTTTTTGTACTTTATGCCGAAAAAATTGAAATACAATTTTTTTAAGTCAATAAATGGTCAAAAGGGTAGAATAGTCATTTCATACCTAAAAAGTATTTCACTTACATCCCAAATATCAATTTGAGGTGTAAGTGAAATACAAAATCACTCTTTCAAATATGAGTGAAAATTAAAACCAAAATCTTTATCTACGTGAGAAATGACCTAACTTCAGAAGGTCTGGACGTAATTTACCCTTTAAATTAATATAGATGGTCTTACACTTAGCTATGTCAAAATGCTTCTTCAAGAAAATCACACACTACTCATCATGTTTGGTCATTGACTAAATGTAGGTTACTAGATAATCGCTTTTGTTAGAAATTTAGTTGTTTTGGCAAATTTCGGTCCAAAATCACCATTGGGCTGTTCAGAGGTTCGAGCTTCATAGTGGATAATTTGTGAAATGTGTGTGAGTACTCACCTCACAAAAAAAAAAAAAAAAAAAGAAATAAAAAAATGGGTAATGGATACTGTACCGGTAAATTATGAAATATTCTAAGCACAAGTATTTTACAAATGAAGTGATCACTGAAATTTTTTTAATTGAGAGTACAGCGGGAAAGGACCTTAGTCCCAAAAGGCCCGAAAATAAGCCAACGTATTGGGCCATAAGAGGTTCACAAAATACAAACTAGATTGTTAAGGGCTGGATATCCAGACCATAGGATACAAAAGCAAGGCTTAAGCCCAAAAGGAGAAGCCAGATTCAATTGCTCCGGTGGGTAGAACGAATACTCTGTAATTGCTTGGAGCATGTGACGGAAGGATTGTATGAGTTCAGTGGTAAATTATAAGGTGCTTGGAGCATGTGAGATGGGAGGATTACAATATCATCTGATTTTAAAAAAATTCTGTAATTGCTTGGTCCATTTTCTTTTTCTTTTTCTTTTTATGCAATTAATCTAAATTTATTTTATTTTATTTGTGTTGACCACTTGACCCTAACGGTACTTTTAATGGATTGGGGATTTGGGAGTAAGTTACAATTTTTAGATAATTAGGAGAGTCGATCAGTTGCATTACCTTTGGGTATTTGTAAATACTGTACTTGAAAGTACGCATTCAATAGTTGAATTTGTCAGTGTCGGTAAAAATTAAGGAAATTTTGGAATAAATTCTAAACGATTAAACTACTATACCAACCAAAATTGTTAAAGAACCGAATTCATTTAGACCGCCAACAGAAATTCCGGAAGAATCAACAGTCTTACACTTAAAAAAAGAAAAAACACGATTTTGGGATCTACACAATAAAATTTGATTGAAAAGTAACATGACCACTATTGTTTTTTTTTTTTTTTTCTTTAATTATTTTTTATTAGCTTTTGTTATTATAAAGTTGTGTGTGTGTGTGTGTATATATATATATATATATATTTCATATATTTTTTATATTTTAACTAAATTTAAATACAATAATCTAATTATTACTTTTGCATTTTTAAAAAATAAGAAGGATGATTTTTAAATAAATATTATTTAATATTAATATATTATTAAAAGGCAACTTTTTATTTATTGCCTAAGGCACCAAATTATTTCGAGCCGCCCACGGTGCTTATCTTCTCATTTTAATGAAAATTTCGCACTTTTATAAATTTTTTGCGCTTGTGAAACCTTATGTATAAATGCATAGCATTTGAAAGTTCGCCTACAATCTCTCAAAATTTTGGGAATCTCAAATCCGATCGATCCTACCCTACAGTACATAAACGGCTCCCATACCTGTGCCATTAGAGGCGGGATGGGGCGGGGCTCCGACGGGACGATACAAATCACCATCCCTAATCATTGTTACGTGCGCACATGTGTGTATATATAACATCCAACTCTTTGTTAGATGGTTGGTTATAATTTTATAGAGAAATATAACTGTCTTCTTTCTATGTATCTTTTATTCTATGTTTGCATATACATGTGTGTATCATTTTATGTACTTTACGAGTTTACGTGCAACGAGACATATGTAGATTTGGACATAGTTTTATTGTAATCGTGTACATAGAGGAGACGCCGCTGCAAATTGATTGAATTGTATCTTAAAACTCACTAATGTCGTTTGTATTTGCACTGAAGGAAGGATTATCAACTTTAGGATAAAGTGTTTACACATAGCTATCTAACAGGCACAGATCCATTAAGGGCTCAATTGGGGGCGGCATTGAAATTTTTTTATTTATAATATTACCTACAAATTTTGTGAAAATTTTAAAAAGTCCCAACTTATTTGTGAAAATCTTTAAAATCCCCCCACTCAATTTCTATTGAACTTGACTATATATTATTGTTGTTCAAGGCCATCCATTCTCATACAATTCTTTAGGTCAGTCACTCTCTCTATTAGGCCAACTTTTTCTTAAACTTTATTTTACTTATTGTTAATTTTATATATGTTTTCATCACTTGTAATTTATTTATTCTTACTGCATATTTAAATTATTTGTATTATTCACATTGTAAAAGTTGTCTTAAAGATGTCTTTTTCTTAATTATAAATTGTATCTTTTATATTGTGTAAATCATCTCCTTTGATGAGACACATAAAAAAATACCAAAGAAAAAAGTTACCTCTATACCTAAAAAAAATTAACTTTGTTGAATAAATTATCGGTTTTGATTGGACCAAAAAAAAGTTATTATTAAATAAATGATCTCATTTGACTGCCAAAAATAAAATTATCTCTGTTGCATAAATTATT